AGACCTGCATTAAAAATAGACATTTACCACAAATTATAGGTATCTTATATTATTAGATACATTATTATAAAACATATTTTAGTTAAGGAGTTATTGATACTGTAAAATAATAATATAAAACCTTAATAAAAATATATTTTTAACTATCAATTAATTTTCTTACCAAAATGTAGAAGATATAGAAGGTTTATCTGGGATGGTTATGCAAACCCCTCGTCAACTAATATCCACAAGTGAAATGAAGATAGTCTTCATTTGAGAACTTTAGTATTCGTACTGCTCTCCATCGAAGATGAGAATCTGCTTAACTTTATAAGAGAAAGTAGAAATACTAGAAGAAGAAGCCATATACAGGAAAACCTTGCTCTGATGTCAAATCTATTGGAAAACAAATAGCAGAAACAGAGAAGAAGATTGAAACTGATAATTGGTAGAGCTGCAGCTCAATACCAGGGACGATTTTATTATACTTATGTTCTGCTTTCTTACTTCCATAAACAAAGGAGAGATGACTTATATAACAAAAGCTGAATTAATAAAATCTAGGAACACTTGGACTTTTACAATCTAGGAAAAACCAAGAAAACAAGAGCCATAAAAGCTAACGATAAAAGACATTGAGAATTACAAATTACATTTAAATTAATGTATGTATGTATGTATATTTGTATGCATTTTAAATTTAATAACCAATTTATTGAATTTTTGAGAATTTAATCAATATTTCAATAACTCATTAAATTTTAATTCATAAAAATTAATTATCAATATTCTAATATAAATATTAGAGCTACAAATATACTAGTATTTAAATATCAAGAATTAACTAGAAAATTCTTATAATTATTTTAAATATTCATTCATTTTAATTGAGAGTATTTCTTCCCAAATACACTAGTTATAAAAAACTCTTTTGTTTTTCAAGATAAATAAATAAATCATATCTTTAAAAATTCAGATATAAATTTATAATAAATTTAAAGCATTAAATTAATTATTCATATTAATAAAACTTTATCTTGAGTCATAGACTTTACCAATTAAAAACCTATTAAATTTTTAAATTATAGTCAAATCATGTAGTAGAACTTATCTCATGTTAAATGCATTAAAGATATTAATATCTTCCCCAGCCACGTACAAAAACTACCATATAAACATTATTTCCTAGTTTGTACGTAAACTGGGAACACTTGCATCAAGAAACATATATGACCGACCACACACAGACGCATGCTAGGACATCTTTTTCCGTATGATTTTATTACACGAAACACAAAAGTAACTGGATACGACCTGTTCTATCCAAAAATCGTGAAACAAAAAAAAAAAAAACATGATAAATGATCCAAGAGACCGATGCAAACCCAAGAGACCTATGACAATATTTGCGCGCACTGTTCTAGGGGGAGGAAATAAAAGATAGATGATGCAACTTTCAAAGGCAAACAACAAAACAAAACAAAAAAGTTGAATCAGAAAACAAACCTAGTAGCTGAAGCATCATAACGATACAAACAACGTAGAATGCAGAAGAGAGAAAATACAGAGAACAGATCAGATGTTGGGAGTTTTTTTGCGAGAGAATCAATTAAAAAACAAAAGATTATATACTCCCCCACAATCCCATGGCAGCCCAGTTCCAAGAAAGAGAATCCTTTTCTTTTTTCTTTTAGTGTTTTTAACAATAACCTTTACTACATCTCTTCTGTTTTTTAACTTGATTATGCTTCAGAAAAGGTCTGGTGCAATTTTATACATATATCATCAGGAAATAGAGTCAAAATAAAAATAAGTGCTTATGATTCAACAAGAAAACATCTAATTTATAGACTCTCTAACAAAAATTCAAATGATTAGGTAAGTTTTTCAACTTCAACATTCCTTTTATTTTTTTATATTTTATAGGAATATGATTTACAATTTCAAAATTTAACGAAATATTACAAAGAAAACTAAAATATCAATAAGAATTTAATTGCATGTCTTTTTAGCTTTGGACGTGCAGCTTACAACCATAGATGGTTCTAACATAATGCGATGGTAATAATTGTGCATTAAATCCATAGCACATTTGGCTAGGTTCTTGGTCTTTGAACAATATTAAAAGAGCTGCTACTTATTAAGTGAAATTGAACATGTTCTTAGGTTTCGATAGTTGATTTGAGAGTTTTGATTCCTCATCACTCTTATTTCTCCTTTTGAAATATTCAATTGTGGATGTGTTTTTTTTTTTTTCTTGGCTACTGTTCTGGTTTGATTAAGGTTTTAGACTCCTTTTTGTTCTCTTCTACTTGCTTTTCTATCATTTTCATACCCTATTTTATTGTATTTTTAATTAGGCATAGTATTCTTGTTCTTGAGTTTGGTAATACTATCATGCTTCCACGTCATTTCTTTGAATCAAAGGGTTGGATGGGTTCATTTATATTTTGTTATTGATTTTCTTTCATTTCTCTTATTTAGGTTTACTTTGCTTTTGTTACATATTATTACCATTATTATCATCAATAAATTTAAAAACTATATTATTATTATTAAAAAAATCATAAAATTAATTAAAAAAATTAAAAATTATAAAAATTTAGAACAGACAACTTTAATATTATTATTAATATTATTATTTTTATTATTATTAGGGAAGCTAAACCCCAAAAACTTGGGTCTGGCTCATCCCGCGAGCCAGGGTTTATAAACCCGCTTGCTTAGGTCTGCCATCACACATGGTTGCCAGACCTAAGCAAACATGTTTTTATTATTATAAACATATTATTATAAAAATCTAATTTAATATTTTAGATTTAAAAATTCAAATCATATCTTTCTATTGTATTTTATATTTATGAATTTATTATTCCTTCAATAGAAATTATATCTTCTATTATTAGTATGATTATTATTATAGTGGTTGTTGTTGTTGTTAGTATTATTGTTATTGTTCAAGTAAACTTAAGTTAAGTATATTTGTCAAACTCAAGTAATGTAGATCAAAAAATTATTTATAAATAAAACATAAATAATTTATAAACAACAAACCATCACAGAAATCTAATTTAACATTTTAGATCTAAAAATTAAATTCATATTTTTCCATTGAAATAGTTCATTTTTTATGTTTATGAATTTTTTATTCCTTCAATAGAAATTATATTTTATAGTTGTTACCGATATAATTTTTATTCAAAAGTATTTTTTTATTTAAAAAAATATTTTTATTTTATTTTTAATATTAATACATTAAAATAATTTAAAAATATAAAAAATAATTTAAAGCAAAGAAAAATAAAAAATAAGTCTTTTTCAAAAAGATTTTTGAAATACAATAACATACATGTTATAGTATTCATATTTTTTCTTATAAATCTATAATTTATAAACTATCATAATTAATAAATTCAAAGAAATAACATAACTTGGTATTGCAACCAAGTTGTGCTACTCCTACTTCAATTGAAGTTTTATGACCTAAGTATCTTAAATCTAGCAACTCAAGTTTTATGATCTAAGTATCTTAGATCTTGGCAACTCAGACTCTTTTTTAAGTGTTATATAGTAGTTAAACCCAAGTGTAGATACTTGAGGTTGGGTTAACACAATTTTTTTGAGTTTAGTATAATTATTTGAGGTATTTGAATTTGATTTGGGATCAGATTTAAATTTTTTTTAAAAATATTTCTTAAAATATAAAAAAAAAATTATATTTTAAAAACAAATTATTATTGACCCGGGTGCAAATTAACTAATAAATGTCTAGACCTTAAGAATGTTATGTATCCTTTCACTTTGTTTTAATTAATAATGACAAATGAACTCATTCTTGGAAGAGCTTCAACTACCTGCGAGGGACAGATTACCCAAGGAGCACGCATCAATGTCACTGGCTTTATTGTATCTAAAATGATCTGCCAGAGGGGGTCCAGCTTGCAGGTGTGGTTTCTGTATAAGCTACTTAATTTTTTTTATTTTTTTAATTATTTTAATATAATAATATCACAAACAAATTTTAAAAACTATCTAAAATCAATATTACTCAATAAAGTAGCTCCAACTGTTTTGGATAGAGTAGCATGCATATGGATAGAGCAGCATGCATATTCACAAGACATACAAAATTACATTTTTTTAATAGCTTTATTTTATAATGGTTATTAGTTTGAGGTTTTTTAAAAATTAAAAATTTATATAATTATTAATTTTAAGGTGATTAATAAGGCCCGTACAGCTAGCTAGAACATCACTTTCATAAATAAATAAAAAATTACATTTCCAGGTTGGGTTAATAATCTTTTAACCTAACTCTCCATAAATCCTAGTCCACTACCATGGGCTTAGAATATAGGACAAAGTAAGAAAGCGAGAGAAAGTGAGCTTTGTCTTTGAGTTTGACAACAATTTTGAGATTGTCATTGTTAACTGTGGTTGTTTCATGCTCCTCTAATTGCTAGTTATTTTGAGATTCTTGCCACACCAGCATGCAACTAATTTGTTAGGTGGAAATCTTTGCCATCCTGGGAACACCGATGAGCTGTGTTGATTGATTTTTATGCTGGCATTTTAGTGGAACCTGTCATAGTCTGAAGCCCATGAATGCTAGCCTCTCATTTTGCAGAAGGCACTGCGTAATTCGTTGAGACCTACTTTGAAGTGTTCCAACTGCATTAATGAGGTATCGATCAATGATCTGATTCAAATAAACAAGTGATCATGCTGCCTTCTACATGTTTTTGAGATTGCCAAGCAGAACTCTCTTTTCCATGTTCATAATTTATTTCCATGTACTTTTCATGCATCCACACAATGGTCAACCATTGTATTGACAGTACTGAATGTCTTCTTGCCCAGATTGTTGCATTGACAGGCCATACCATAGGAAAGGAGGAGATTATTACACTAAGTTCCTCACTTAGTGTAAGTTCAGAATATATATATATATATATATAAACAGAAACTGATGTTAATGTGAGAAGCTGAAGGGAGTTTTTGATTCCATTCCACTTTTCTTTTCAGCCAAAAAAACCTGAAAGATTAGATTTAAGATGTTCGCAACCAAAAGGCACACAGTCACAGAGTCACTACATTATATTAAGGACACAAATATAATGGAAATGTTTAGATTTTCGAAAAGCAAGCCATTTCGACACATGACAAACTGCTTGCTAAGAATAAATATATATTAGCTGCATTACATTTTGCTCTGCTCAAACTAATATTGCTCCTCTCATGCTCCTGGCTTATCAGCCCCTAAACACCAGCTGCTTTTCCTAGTCTGTCTCTCAAGATTTTCAGTCCCATATACCTGCAAATCACAATTAAGAAACCATTTTTTATAATATAAAAGCAGTTATTTAATTAACTTGATGTGTTCTTGAGAAGGAAAGAGCACTACTTAGAAGCAGTATCTCATTTTAAGCAGGGTTTTTAAGATATTCCTACCTGCCCATCATCAGGATGGTGGCTTGAGGATTAGTCCCAGGAGATTCATCAAATACCGAGCCATCCACAATGCGAAGCCTGTTCACACCAAGAACATTGTAATCACGGTTCACCACCTTGCCAACATGACACCCACCATGATAATGCCAAATTGTGATTACGGTGTCTTTGCAGAACTGCTCTAGGGACTTGGTGTCATTGGTATGCTTAGGTACTAGGTTAACATTAGCACTGACACTCATGTTAAGAATCTTGTCTGTGGTCTGCTTGTCACATTGCGTAAAATTTGTAAAGTGTTCTGATTGCACCATCTTTGTAGCCATGCGGATGCCATCAACACAACGTTGTAAATCATGTGGATGCTTAAAGTAGTTGAAGGTAACAGAAGGGTTATCTTCAACATTTGTGTTGATCAATTTGAGCTTGCCAGTGGAAACGGGGTTAGAAATCTTTTCAAGGATAAAGCCTCCTCTGAATGCCTCATGTGGTATGTCCTTCTTTCGTCTAATGTATGCTTGGATGGCCTCTGGTGTTCTTTGCTTTGGAGGTATGGTTGATAGTTGCCCTATCTGTTTATAAGAAAAAATGAACTTTATATTCTTACTTCACTATCACTTAATCAAAATCATTGTTTAAAGGAGTTGTGTCATAAAGGATATGTTAACGTGCCAATATAGTTCCTTTAAATTGAAATGTTTCTATACCTCTGCAGATATTATTCCATGGTGACATTGTATGCTGTCATTGGACTGCCCAAATCCACTGCTAGCTTCAATGTACACACCCCTCTTGGTAATCCCTACAGTTTGAATGAGGGACTGCTTTACTGGTTTTTTAGAAGGAACGAAAACTGTGTTCAAGGGGTTATCAGCCATGCCTTGCCCAACAAACTTATTGTTGAGGACCACTGAAATTTTCATCTCCTCAAGTTCAGCTTTTGGGCCAACACCACTGAGCAATAGCATCTGAGGGGTGCCAATGGCTCCACATGACAATATTACTTCACTCCGGCTGTTTGATAGAAATGCTTGATGCTGGTTTCCATTTTCATCTTTGAATAGGACGCCAGCTGCTTTTGGTCGCTTTCCTGGGTTGAACATTATGATCTCCTAAGTTACAAGTATCCGCAAACTCTTACACTAACAATATGGCGAAGTACTTGAGTAGTTTAACATACCTGATGTGTCAAATAAAACCTTTTGGACTGTAGCGTGCACCAACACAGTGAGCTTATGAGGATCAGCAGAAGCAAGTAGTTCGGCAGCCGTGTGCCGACGGCCGGATCGGTCAAAAATGGTACCACCAAACTTGGTTCCATAAATGTGATCATAAGTGAATCCATTGAAAGGTGCAACTCCAAGATCCAAAAGACTGTCCCTTACAACAACCTGCCACGGTGCAACCTTAGGCCTGTGAACAATCTGCTTCTCAACCCAGGAGTATGACTTGTTCACCAACTTCAAATCCCAACCAACTTTGCTTATAAACCTGCAAGAAACAATTTCTTCAACATTTCCAAGGGTTTCGTTACAATGAATTTAGTAAGTGGTCTCATCTCTCAACACAAGAAGTTGTGGATTTCAAGTAAAGTGATTAAAATTATTCATATAACTCCCTTGCTCCTTCAACTACGAATGCCAAACTCTTACTATCCAATCAATTATTATGAACTGCAAAAGGAAGGGGGGTCTGCATGCCAAAAACAATGATGAATGCATGATTATAGTTAATCCTTCACTTTCCTTGACCTCTTTCATTTGCAGTGCTTAATAAGAGAGACAAGTTCTAAGTTAACACCAAGACACCTTAAGGGCCTCAGAAGCTGAATTGGGTGGCATAATTACGAGAGACAGAAAGAGTTGTGGTGGACTCGTACATGGTATCAAAAGCGAGTTTTAAGCAGTCTTGTTAATTTGGTGCATTCAATTTGGATCCATTTTCTTGATGGCTCGAAATAAATATCACAATTGATTTCTAGGAAACTCTCCACCCAATTTTTCCCATTAATTAAAGCATAGAAAAGGACCACAAAGACAACTGAAATTAGACCACAAATAAATATAATGTGCGGTACGAACCACGGCAATGACATGAGTACCATTACTTCTCTAAACCCTAGCAAATGACTTCCCAGCCGTGCAATAATATAATGTGCGGTACGAACCACGGCAATGCCATGAGTACCATTACTTCTCTAAACCCTAACAAATAAAATGACTTCCCAGCCGTGCAATGGTGACCTTCAAATCGGGTGACCCTGTATATGATCCCAGATTAGAGTTCAGTCGTGGGACCTTCACACCTATTAATCTCACAGCACACTTTGTCTTGTCATATATATAGTGTCTAAGCTTGATTTTGTGGCATCAACATGATCCAAGCAGAAAAACATCTTCCAGCATCCTTCACAAAGTCATTATCCAGATGGATTTATGTTCTGATTTTATTTCTGGACAGGATTACTTAATGGCTTTGTCAGCTACTTAGATCTTAGAAAACCCTTCTTTTTCAAGAAGAAAGAAAATTCCAACACATTAATTATTTGCATGTTGATGTTTCTTAATAACGACCACACTTATTCTTCCTAAAGATATGACAGTTAATTATAACTATTGTTTTTCTTTCTCTTCAAAATCTCTTTTTATTTTACTGAATTCTTTAACTCATCACTCCCCGCCTCAAAACTACAACTAACTTCATGTGGGATCTAGGCAGTTGCATTGAATGAATATTCGTTGAAAGAAAAAAAGAAAAGAAGAAGTAGTGACAAAGTAGTCGTATTACATTTGAGGAAAAATTGAAGGCAAGCAATTCCAAACCATACCTTGTGCTTGCTCTAGTGTAGAACCCAGCATTGATGCAAGTACCACCACCCAAAACTCTACCCCTAGAATTGAGGACTCCATCAGTAGAAATGAAGTATTGGGAAGCAGAAGTTGATGAAGTGTCAGCAAGGGTAATATGGAAGTTCTGTAATAAGGAGATGTTCGCATTGCCAAAAGGGATTCCACCTCTTTCAAGCAATAAAACATTGAATTTATGAGAGAGTGTGGCGGCTAAAGGGCACCCAGCTGTGCCACCTCCCACAACTATATAGTCATATGTATTATCTCCTTGGCCACTTGATGACAAGGATGATGAGAATGAGCTTGCTTTCTTGATAAATGGGTATCTAAATTCAGAGTAGGGCTGATGGTGCGCAGCTGCATTGCAACATAATTTTGATGTCAATAAAAGAAATTTACAACCCTATTTCTCTAGTGACCTTAACGTGTCAACTAAATAATTTATTTTGGAAAAAGGCCTTCAATAATTTCTGTGTTATTATATAGATGCATAGATAGCCATGTATACTACCGATCTTCCCACAGCTATATTTTAGAGGGTAACATTTATGACAAAAATAAATATACTCACTAATCACAGCCAACTACCCCATCAACCCATCTAATTATACTATAAAAAATGAAGCGAGAAAGAAGAAGAAGAAGAAGGCATCTATGCAATGAATCACCATTGTTCTGCGCAAATGAAGCGAGAAAGAAGAAGAAGAAGAAGACATCTATGCAATGAATCACCATTGTTTTGAAACTAAGATAAAAATCATTTACATTTTCTGTTTCTTGAACTCACAAGATTTATATTCTGACTACTTGTGTATGAGGGCAAAAACAATAATGGGACTCAAAGTATCCATCCACGCGATGTATGCCAAGTTTAAAGAAAACAAAATATTGAAACCTTTCTCTAAAGCCAAGATGCATGGTGCAAAGACACTGAGAATAATGGAGCTCGTTTGCATATGTATATTAATATTAACTAGAGAGAAGACTGATGATCTCTTCTTGACCAACAAAAATAAAGTAGAAGTTCTATATATGCAAGCAGAAACAGAAACATGTATTTGATCCGAGGGGAGAGATCGAGATGGAAATTAAGAGAATTAAAAGAATTAAAGAGGTCAAGGGACAGTAAATTTAAACTAAACTAAAGATGCATGCAAATATACAGTGATCATGGAGGTAGGTAATATTAGCGGCTAGTGCTGGAAGCAAAACGAACCTTGAGAAGAAGAGAGAGCACAAAGCCATAGAAGGAGGAAGAGAAAGAGCTGGTTCAGTAGTGCGCAAGCAGAAGCCATTGAAGGCAGACAAAAGCCGCAGCAGCAGCAGGAGCAGGAGCAGCAGCAGCAGAACTAGAAGCTCTTGTTTCAATCCTCTATGTGGCTGCCTCTGGTTGGCCCTATTCTGTGTGTCTACACCCTTTATATATATATATATATATATATATATATATATATATATATACTTGGATTTTAGACCATAAAGACACAAACTTGTATAAATAAATAAGTAAATTCACCAAGAAATGGCATCTATAATTCATTATTTGACCATTTTAATCAATATCCATTTAGTCAGTGAGTCAGTGAGTTGTCAAGATTATTTTTAGACAGTGAGGGATATTTTCATGTAGACGGCAATTGATATTAACTTTTTTTTTCAATTAGTTTTAAAAATATATCTTCATATATTTATTAACTTCTCTTAATAATATGCTAAGATTTAGATTCAAGATAAATAAATAATTGAACAGAACTTCTCATGTGCGTTTAGAGTTGTATAGCATCCTATACAAGGATGTAAATTCCGTTTTAGTTGTTATTTTATTTTTTTAATTAAAATAATATATTTTATTTTTGAAGAATTTTCAAGTTTCATTTCATCTTTTATTATTAATATATATATATATATATATCAAAATATAATTTTAAAATTTAAATATTTATATTAAATAAATTTTATAAAATTTAATTTGATATGATCTGATATATTTGTTAGATCTAAAAATAATTTGAATAACTAATAAAAATTTAATTTGATTTAAAAATCAAGATAATATCTTTTTTTAATTATTGAAACAATAATATATTAAATTGATCTGTATTAACTTTTCAAAACTATAACATAAAGATCATGATAATCTCAAATAAAATAAATTAAAATAATTTATAAATTATATTTTTTAATAACTAGAGAAAATTATATATAAAACACGGCACTATAAAAAAGACATGATAAAAAACTCAAGTTAATTGAATTAATTCATTAAGTTTGTGTCATAAATTATAAAAAAAATTATAATAAGTTATAAAATTTAATTTTTAATAGATCAAGTATTAAAAAATAAAATTTAAAAAAAAAAACATTACACACAGCGAGTAGTATTAAAAAATAAAATTTAAAAAAAAAACATTACACACAGCGAGGAATGAATCTGGATCATTTTGCGTGGAATTTAGATGAGAAATCTAGAATTTTTATTTTATTTTATTTTCGAAGACGGGAGGCAATTCCACCTAATTCCCAGCGTAAAGGCAACAAACACAACGATGGTGCAAACTGCACTCCGTGTCATAATATTGCAAGGCTGAGACAACAACTGTGAGCTCATTAATGGCGACATGAACGCCACCGTTGGAGGATAGAGGGCTATTAATAATTATTCTGATAAATTTATTACATATTTTTCTGAATATATTTATTTATTAATTTATTTATTTTTATCTCCTGCTCTTCCCAAACTCGTACTTGCGCCGCTTTATTTTTAAATTGTGACAGTTTAATTAATGTCATGAATAAATATATAACCAATTAAATTACTTATAATGGGGAAATTCTATCAAAGATGCTTTTCATTTTTTCTTTGGAAAAAAAACAAAATCAAGCGTGCGACCTTATAGACACGTATTAAAATTAGTAATTACAACATCGAATTTCCATCAATATTTTGGTTACTTTTTACATTTGGAATCCTCTTCTCCAAAAAATCAATTTTGTTGCTTAAAAAAACAAAAAAAGGATCAAATTTGACCAGAGAGAACAATGCATGTTTTTTTATAAAAAAATTATTGTATATGTGGATTCTTTTAAAAGAATTTTTATATTTTTATTTTCAATACTTTTAATTTGAACATTTAACATTCTAGTTAAATCTTTATTTTATTGACTTTTCAATCTCTAAATTATAAAGAAGAGAGAGAATTGATGGAAAATAACTATGGAAAAAAGTTGTTTATTAACATCAATTCTACAACAAAAAAAGTTAATACTAATGTAAACAAAATTTACCTGATGAGAAGAATTTTATTGATGTCTTTTCTAAACCTTTCTCTTGCTAAAAAAATATATAAATGCGAGGAAAGAATTTTTTTCAATTTAATTTTATATTTTTGGATTATTTTTAAGGGTTTTTTGAGAAATTATAATTTTATAGTCTAATGGTGTTTATTAAATATTTTTAAGTAAAAATAAATTTTAAAAAAATTAAGGTCAAAAGAACACCACCATCATGATTTTTCAGCCACCTCTTTAATAGTCAAAATATTAATAGAAAGATGATGCATTGATTGTTTTTTTTTTCCATAAAAAATAAAGAAACAACATAATATCTGTCCAATTTAAAAAAAAATAAAAAAAATCCAAGCATGTGGGCTTAGTCTTTAAAACAAATCGGACAAATGATGCATCGCCAAGTATAAACTCTTATTATTGAATTGGAAACCACACACAAAGGAGGTTCCAATCAGATTATATATTGTTAACATGATTACATTAGTCATCTTATTCAATTAATGCTAATACTTGTAAATCTCGTCAAGCATTCATGATTATAACTTATGTTAACAACAAATCAAGTTCCTTTCATAGCTCAGGTGTCGGTTATACCATACATTATGGGCTATGAAAGTGCCAAGCATTTGTTGTACCAAGTGTTATACAACATAAATCAAGATTAGTCATTTAACAAGCAAAGTATTAAAGAGTGAACAAGATAGCAAATATAAAACATGTTAGTATCAAACATTAAAGTCCATATTAAGTTTACATTATACTTATTCTTACACCATTAGTGTAACCTTTTCACCTTGACATAATTAACTTAGCTAGACATAATGAAAGAAAGCAAAATAGATAAACAAAATAAGAACATAAAAGTTAACTAAGTAAAGGAAAGGAAATGAAAGGCATAAACTTAATATTAATGAAAACAAAGCATAAAAAATACAAAGAGAGAAAGGAAGAGCATGATCTTGATCTGAACACCAAGATGCCTAAATGCATGGCAAATGCCTCCTTTTATAGGCCAAAATTGGGAACTATTGATTTGATGACTAATTGATAAGTGGGTGACCAACTTTTGACTTGGTGACAATCCTTATCTTCTCTTGTCTGCCCAAAACGTCATTGATAACGTCAAAATTGGAGCCAGTTGTAAACATGAAAGTTGTAGGCAATTGTCTCAGCTTTCTTGTGTAAAAATTTCAGCTCATTTGGACTTCTAGAACTCCAGATATGGCCAAAATACCGAACAGTGCTCGGGCTGGAAGACAGATTCGGGCTTCTTTGTTGTTGCTACAATTTGGACTTGATAATGGCCTTTTTAGATCTTGGGCTCCATATGAAAGTTGTAGGCCTATGTCTTACCTTTCCATCCATATAAATTGGACCTAAATCTGAGATCTGTAGCTCTAGATATGACCCAATTACCGAATAGTGTTCCGGTTTGGATTGCACCGACATCTCTTTTCTAAGTTTGGCCATCTCTTTATCCTTGCAATTTAAGTTCTTCAAGTCATCAATCAATCCTTTTATTTATGTGATAGGCCTGCATTAAAAATAGACATTTACCACAATTTATAGGTATCTTATATTATTAGATATATTATTATAAAACATATTTTAGTTAAGGAGTTATTGATACTTCAAGTGCAAAATGATGATATAAAACCATGATAAAAATGCACTTTTAAGTACTAATCACTAGCAAATCAACATGCTTAAAAGGCCTAGACACTTGTGCCTAGGCTAGCAAATCAACATGCTTGGTCTATTTTTTTAGTCTTTTTCTAAAATTTAGATGGAATTATTTAAAAAAATAATTAAACATATTTTAGTTACATTATTTTATTAAATTTTGAAGTTAATTCAAAATGTATTTAGATATTATTTTATCCATTACCATTCATTTTTTACTTTTTTTTTCAGATATGATTATATAAATATTTTTATGTATTAGCAAGCATTCTTTTTGTATTAGGGGTGTTCAAAAAAATCGTTTAACCAAGAAAACCAAAAAAACCAATGAAAAATTACTGAGAAAACCGAACCGAGATGGAAAACCGATTAAATTAATTTTTAAAACTATAAAATTTTGCCAATTATGTTTGGTTTTGATTTTACAACAAAAATCGATGAACTGAACCGAACCAAGTCACCAACCATAAAATAAAAGACCTATAATACTAGTCTATAGTTAACCTAACCCTAATAACATTACATTTGTCACTGCCCAGACCAGAGACTGGTTTTCCCTTCTTTATTTTTCTTTTAATTTTCATCCACTCTGCGTCTCTATCCCTACACATATCTCTTCTCTAGCTGAACAAAAACCGACATCTCCATCTCCTTGGCTTCTCTCTTCACTTCACATTTCAGTCTTTGTTCTATCTCTTGCTCGCACATCTGTCTTTCACCATTTGCAAATTTGCAGAGCCAAACAAGTAGGCAAGCATGAGCGGTCATGATTCAAATTATTTCTCGACAACTAGGAAAGGTGAAATCCTTAAGCTCAAAAAAGAGCTCAATTCTCAGTACAAAGTCCATTTGTCATCTTTCTCCTTTTTATTTTGATCGAGTTGTTAGATTTGTCTGATTTTGACTAATTAGTTTTATTGAACTTTCTTCTACAACTAGAATTTTATTGGATGATTAACTTTTTTATTAATTATGTTCATGTTGCTGAGAAATCATATAAAATTATGTTGGGATTTCCTTAGGTTTGGTTTTTGTTTATTATTATATAATAAGAATTGAAATGGAGCTATTAGGGATCATATATTAAGAATTGAAATGGAGCTATTAGGGATTACCTGATGCAAAATATCCTTTCGTGTTTGGCATTATGGATTTTAGGAATTCAAGTGCCAGTTTTAAAGCCAAAAAATCAAATTTAATTGAACTGAAATGGTTCGGTTTGAACTAGAATTTGGTTTGGTTCGGTTTGAATTTTTAAAAATTTGAGTCACTAGGTTTGGTTGGTTTTTGTAATTCAAACCGAACCGAACCATAAATAGGCCTATTTTGTACAATCCATCATAATAATTTTTTGAGTTTTATATGGTTGTTTTATTATAATCATCTATTTTTGTTATCACATAAATAAAAAAATAAATTTATTAAACCTAAATTGGTTCAATATGTCATTGTTTCAATATTTATTAAAAAAATATTATCTTAAAATTTTATTAATTCGAACCATGTTCTTACTAATCATCATGGTTGTTTTTTTATCTATCGAGATAATTGGATCATATTAGAATAACTTTCACATGATTTAATTTGCAATTAAAGCTAAATAAAGAGTCGAGTTAAAATATTCAAAAATTAAGTTAGAATGTTCAAAGATCGAACGACTAAGTTAGGTTTAATAACATTATTAAAGTGTTCTTCATGATGACATATAAGTATTATATTACCATTATGTTTTTTAATATACTTGTACTAAAACTAACAAAATTTTATATTTTTAGAATAAGACTTGTGCTTTTGAAATTTGGATAGAATTTTATCTAAAAAACAAATATTCTAATAAGAACTTTCCAAAAAAAAATAGCACATTAATAAGACAAACGGATGTTAGTTGGAGGGGTATCTTTGTAATTCTTATTTTAAATCTTCCAAAAAAAATTTATGTTTCTTGAATGCTTTTGGTTTTTATAATTAAATAAATAATATAGGACAAAATGTTAAATTATTTTATGAGATAAAAGATATTAAAAATGAAAGAAAATCTAGCAAATTGCAAGTTATTTTTTTTCAAGAAATTTATTTTATTATTCTTCTTATAACAAAATATTAGTGCAATATAATTAAGAGAAAAATAAAATGAAAGGTTTCCATAGCATAGGATCAAATATCTATCTATGTGTCTCAATTTCACGACTTAATATTTACTTAGTGTTAAATTTCTTTTTATATTTATCGATACATATAATTTTTAATTTATTTTATATGTTAAATTTCTTTTTATATTTATTGATGCATATAATTTTTAATTTATTTTATACAACAGATTTTGTGTTCATGATTAAAAAAAATCATTTCCAAAAACATGTTAACAATGTTTAAATATTTTTTATATTTAAAAAAATTAATCTAATATGCAATATAACATGACTGAATAACCTAATTTTATACTAATTTGCTTCTAAAAACATGTTACAATGCTAGAATATTTCTTTATTTAAAAAAATTAGTTTGAACCACAACAAATAATGGCTCAGTAATCTAGATTGACATTAATTTGCTAAAAAAAATGTTATAAATGTTTAAACATTTTTTTTTATATATTGTAAAAATTTCTGATCCGGTAAAAGATAGTTGAGTGATGTAGTTCTACACTAATTAAATGAATGCCTATATGCCTACACATAGGGAAAGAAATCTACTTCATCAAGATGGTTATAAAAATTTCAAACGAACTACTATTTTTATTTATTTATTCTCGTAAATAAAACCATATTCTTCTACAAATAAAAAAAAAATTGTTTTCATGTTGCTGTATGATTGATGGCTTTTCAATTCAATCAATATCTCTCGTGCATGATTGGTGAATATTTCAACTTAATTATCCTTTCTAAATTGCTAGTTAATCCAGGACTCGTGCAAAATAGCTCGCAAATCTCTTATGAAGTAAAAATAGAGCACAATTCTAGGAAACTATTAATAATTAATATACTGAACCAAAACATAATAATTATGGTGGAGTTATATGGACGAATTTAATTTAAAGTTGAAAGTGGATCTCGATATATCACAATGCTTAGATTCATGGCTTAACGATGAAGTTTCAAGTGCTGCGATGTCGAGTCAAAATAGAGAAAAAAAAAATTAAATTCCACACATGAAAGGAGGAGCGAGACAAAGATTTTGGCAATCTAATTTATTTTTTTTAATTGACAAGATAATTAATGTTAATTGATTCAAGCTGGTTAATAAATGTAATTAAAACGTAGGCAAAATTAATGGTTGGAAACAAAACAAAAGATTAAATCATAAAGCTTTAAAAGTAAACTCAAAAGTTAACTATTAAATTTTTGTTTGGAAACTCGGTTTAACCTGTATTTATAAAAAATTTAAATTTTTTTATATATTTTAGATTGTTTTAATATATTAATTTTAAAAATAATTTTAAAAATATTAAATAAATATTATTTTCATATATTTTTATATGAAAATCACTTTAAAAAATAATTATAATTATACTTTCAAATTCTCTAAATATAATTCTAAATCCCATGTGGGAATTATAAATATAGGTTGCAAAAGAAAAGGGTGGTTAGAGCTATCAATTCTACATGAAATAAATAAATAAATAATAAAAATAATATATAAAATTGAGTACCTCGACGAAGAAATCATTCGTAGAAAAGGTTAGGGTGTTGAAGAAGTGTTCACTTCTCTACTTGTATCATCTTTGTATTCATGATTCCGTATGAATTTATTTCTATAATTTTATGCTAATCTCATGTCTATTAACTCTACTTTTTTTTTTTCCAACATGTTATGACGAGCATCTCTCTCATTTATGGTGAACTGTTCGTATTCTAGCACCTGTTGACGACAGATCATGCATGGTTGGACCCGTGGCTGGATTGGTGGAGTTTGCTCCGAAGTAAATAGGGCGGTGCGTGTGTCCGGTGAATTAAGAGTTTTTATATTCGGTCTGGTTCATGGGTTTTGTATGGATTACCGGGTAATTTTAATTTTTTTATAAATTAAAACAATATTATTATAGTTAAAAAGTAAATAAATAGTTAATAAATAGTTAATAAATTATAATTGAGTTTCGAATCTTGACAGATGAATTGGATACCAGGTTAACCGGCCAAGCTAACTATATTTTTAACTTTTATTTATTTATTTTAAACCTAACTCTATTTCAGCTCAAATCAGTTAATTTTCGAATCTTTATTTAGACAGGAACAAAACCTTTATTATTATTATTATTATTGGTCCCATTGGACAATCTTTTGAAATAAGCAAACTATTCAGACACATTATAGCCTTAGGTTTTCTAGGAGTGTTTTAATGCAGTTTCTGTTTTTATCTTTTGGTGTTATTTAAAAATACTTTTAGCTTGAAAAATAATTTAATTAATTTTTTTTTAATTTATTGATATTAAAAATAAAAAACCTTAAAAAATTATTTTAATATATTTTTAAAAAAATTTAATTATATTGAGAAGTAAATATGTTTCATAATGGTTCCAAAAATGTTGATCAAGAAAGGCTGATACTATTAAATAACAATAACAATAACAATAATAATAATAATAGAATTATCAATTCAAATTTATAAATTTTAAGGGTATTAAAAATATTTAATTTTAAAATTCATAAAATTAATTAAAATATATATAAATTTATCCAAACATTCATATTAATATTTAAAAAAAAAATTGTGTAGCCTAAAACATAAATATATGTGTGAGCGGCTAGATTTCACCAGGTCCAACCTAGCTAGAGGAGGGCCGCTTCCTCCTATAACTTTAGAAAGAAAGATGAACGCTATTTGTTATTGTAAAATACAAAATAGCTAGAAACTATTTTTCGAATCTTAAGTCACAATTATCAAATTAATTGGAAGATATTTGAATGAATCTTTATTATTATTATTATTATTTTATTTTTTTTATTTTTTTCTTGGGAGGAGGTGTTAAGAAAAGCATGCATGTGGAAAACTATAGTGTCTTCCTTTTCCTTTCACGATTTCAAGTTACCATAACTTCAGTCGAAATTCAATTTATTCTTTATAATAATCATAATCATATTTACTTATTATTTTGCAATAAATAAGCAAGAAAGAAAGAAAGCAAAGCAAAGTGAGAAATGACTTTGGAGTCATTGGAACAAACACCTTTCGTGCACGACTGATGGAAAGCAAAAGAGAATGGATGCCATTAATTCTCACAACTGCAACCCTCAATCAAGACCTCTTTTTCTTCTTCTTCTTTTTTTTTTTTAGGAGGAGGAGGAGGAGGGCGGGGGTGGTTGGTCATATGTACATATCGAATGTATCTGTCATGAAATCTCATCTATGAGTGTGTGATGCTATTTTCTTTTCTTTTTTGGGAGGAGGAGGACGGCGACTACGACGGAGGAGGGTGGTTGGTCCTACTTGCACAACATCTCTCAAACATTAAAAACTCTGTAATAAAACCATGCAACTAAATTAGCTTTTTTAAGAACTTTTTATTTGGCCAAATTATCTGCAATATAATTTTTTTCTCTCCACGAGTATGCTTAAAAAACACAAAAATAAGCAGATTGCAAGCATTAAATTCACCTACCAACCATTATGTGCTCATATGCGTGTAAATGCGAAGCGAGTCATCCATATCCATCCATCCTGCTGCTTAACTCTCAAAATTCTCATCATCTTAATTGTTTTCAAAAATAGATGGTGTCAATTAAATTGGCTTGGTTGATCAAATCACTGTCCAGCCATTGGAGAAAGCTTCTAATAGCACAGAGATGGCATTGTATTGTATTTGATCTGCATAAATTGATTCCTGTTTTTGGAATAGGTCGCCCACAAGGAAAGCTATCTATCAGATACCTACAATCCTTCGTCATCTTCAATAATTATAAGAAGGGTCGGTCATCAGTCAGTGTTGGATAGAGATAGGGATTCCAAAAGCATTCACGGTCGGATTTTTTAATATTTATAATCTATTCATTTCCTTTTAAATAAAAATATTATATATTTATAAATTTAAGTATCCATTATATTTTTATTATTATTTATTAGTTGATAAAAATAAAATAATTAATATATTTATTCAAAGCGTGTGTATACATGTGTGTGTTTTATATCAATGTAGAGATATGTGTATATTATATTGCATTACAAAAAATATGTATGATCAACAAATGTGTTTATATAATATAAATATATATATTTCGGGTTAGAATAAAGGGGGCTTCAAGTTGAGTTTGAAAAAATTCATAACCTATCCATTACTTATTATCATTTTTCAGGAGAAAAAGTATTATAACAAGACATAAAAATTTTATAATCTACCAAGAACAATACAAGATTTACTAAACATGATAAGTAATGTAAGAATTTATTACAAATATAAAACAATTTTTGTATCGGCTAAGAGTCTAATAGAATTATCAAATTAAATCAAAGTTATAACATTATTTTATTTTTATAATGAATTCACTACTTTAATGTTATTAGTCTTCATACCTATTAAATATAAACATATAAAGTTTATAAAAAATATTAGCTAAAATAAAGCATTATTTTTATTTGGTATATTTTTCAAAATAAACTACAATAATAATAAAATAATAAAGAAATTTTTTTACTTATTTATTTTAATTGTACTCATTGTTCTTTTATACAATAGAAATCATTGATTATCAAATCTATTTAGAATCTTTCAACAATATCTTTTTTATATAAATAATCAAATAATCTATAAGAAATTATACTCCATCTAATTGTGAAGTTTTTTTTTTAATAACATCGTTGCTAAAAAAACTTATTTAGTGATTGTAATTAAAACATGAAGAGTCAAAATAAGATGAATCAATCTGTCAATTAGTGGATAAATTATTTATTTTTTATTTTCTGCCAATCCTCGGCATAAATCAACAATCAATGATAAATTTTTTAACTTTAAATGATTAGGTGCATCAAGCTTATAAAGTTGCAACTAGAACCTTAACTGAATTTTTTCTTAGTCAAAAATATCTTTAAGATAGAACTTATCAATAAGTCTGCATATATCATCAACACTAAATAATTTGTAGGCATTTTTTGGATTAATAACTGCACTCAACATAAGAAGCTCGGTTGTCTGCTCACTAAATCTATTATTTAACTCTTGTAATTATTAATTAATAGTAGCTATAAATATATTAACTTGGTAGTGATGCTCAATTGACTGAATTTTTTTTACAGTGAGATCACCCCTCCATATTAAAAAATCAAATAATATTAGCAACTTAACTGCAAAAACTACATCAGAATATATAAATCCATTTGAAATGCAAACTCCATCTACATCTCTGAATAGTTGCAAATCACCTATTTGACTAGCTCATTTACCCATTTCAATCTCACTAATAGCAATTAAATGTTCAATTTGAGTTGCTTGAAAAGCTTAAAATTCATCATTATACTTGCAAGAAGCACTAACAATGTTGATAATAAAAATTAAATTATAAAATAAAGTGTGAACATTAAATATTTCTTTAGCTACATCAATTATAGCCAATTGTAATTGATGGGCTAAGTAATGCATGTAATATGCATAAGGACAATCTTTAATGAATAAAGCTTGCAACTCATTCCACTCTCCACGTATATTATTAGTATCATCATTATACCTTTGATATTTTTAATATCAAGATTATAATGAGATAAAATAGAGAAAATATATTTCTTAAGAGTTAAAGCGTTTGTATCTTTAACATGCATTATATCAAAAAAAAAAAACCTTCTTATATAAATCTATTTTTATCAACAAACCTAATAATAAAGGTTATTTGCTCTTTTTTGGACTCGTCTCAAGCTTCAAACAATCAAACAAAATTATGCATCACAAATCTCATGACGAATTGAAAACTGAACGTTTCTAGTAAAGACAAGAAACATTTCCTTTTGAATTTAATGTGATATGTATTCATTATTTTATGGAGCATTATTCAAAATAAGAACACATATTTGTTCATTATATGATGGTTAAGAATTTCATTATTTCAAGAAAACTATCCTAATTTTTTTATTATGGTTTTTTATCATGTCCTCTAAATGAACATACTTGAAATGTGAGCCAACAAACAATATCTAGTGAAACTTTAATAAACAATCAATTATTTATAATTTCTTAAGAAGTTTGCCTCTCAACTTCCTTCTCAATATAACATGATTGATTTTTTTAAATTCTCCAAGCATCCAACAACAAATCTATAAACTAAATTTGAACATTTTTCCATATAAGTAAAAAAAAAAGCACATCATTCCCCATTTATTAACTTTCTTTTAACAACTAAATCCTTTAACAATAAATATGTTTTTATCTTGGCTTTCCTATTGGTTTACTTGCAAATAAATAGTAAGAAAAATAAAATGTAACATTTTTCTCCAAATATTCAAGACTGTTGCAATATCGTAGTTGCACAAATTAATTACCCTCGCTTAAAACACAATACATAAGATAGTATAGAGCAAGCAAAGGGTTGATCTCACGAGAAACGTTCAAGTCAGATTTTTATGCTAGATGATATGCACTTTGGGGGAGAGTATGGACATTATATAGGTTAAAGCAAACAAAAAACAAAAACTATTAAATGAAATTTAATAAATTTAGAAAATTATCAAGAGAACAAACCTTGGTCACGTGCACATATCCACCTATAGAAATCAAAACTGATCATGAAAACAAAATATCAATTTATATTCTGAATGTTTATCTCTTATTAACATTGGTTAGTTAACGAATCTGCAGTATAATTAACCCTAACCATTAAATAACCACAATGTCCGCACTAGTAATTTAATTCAGTGGCAGCCTTAAGAACTAGATAAGTTGATTAATCAAGAAAATATAATTATCCATAGTCTATGTTCGATTTGATTTAATGTTCTCCTTAAGATTAATAACGTAGATCTGCCATAATTATTAAACTCAGTTGCTTGACAAGTTTATATATCACAACTCCGGTTTTGATATTAAACTTAGCAATAGATTGTCTATAATAATAACTTAAAATATGTTATAGCAATTAAAATAAACAATCATAGAAAAAATAAGCATAGAAAAACAAACATATTCATTATATAAACTGAAAGGAAAATATAGAATAAATCTAACAGTTCTTGAAATCTAAAATTTTTTGTGTCCTTGCAACCAAGAAAACGAGTTTAGCCTTATATGTTTGTTGAACAACTAATCAAAAAGAAAGAGGAATGCATGATTTTAGGTTTTTTAGACAAAGGGGACATTTTTATCCTCTTGGTTGGTTGCCCCCTTTCTCTTCTCTTATTTTTTTTATATCCTAGAAAATCCTAGTCTTTATTTTATAAAATTGTCATCATCCCTCAAAAAAATTGTTTACATTTAAGTACTTTAATAATTATTTTTCTAAAAAAGAAGAAATATCCTTGCATAAAATCTTCAAGTTTTGACTTAGAGGAGATAAGTTACTGAAATAAAAAACTTGAATATCGGTTTAGATGCTTTGAAACATAATTTGAACTCGTTTCTTCACAAAACTTGTTTGCTGATAGAATTTCGTTGTCATCTTTAAAAAATTACCTCCCTCATATAGAATATTTTTTTGTTGAATTTTTAGAGTTTATAGGAATTTGAAGTAAGAATCCAAAAAAATTGATTTTACATTAATTGGACTTCTCTAGCTCCAAATATTTAAGTCGAAATGGTCAAAGGTCAACACTAGAAGATTGCAAGATTTGACTTTGAAGGCTGCGATTTTCATGCTCTTTTTTAATTTATTTATTTTTCTTATATGTATAGAAAGGTATGGATGTTATCTTTTTAATGTCATTGGAATCACTTTATTTCAACATTTAGAGCTCATGCTCTGCACCAAACATCAACTAAAGGTCAATTTTATCAATTACCTTCAATTTACTTCTTTTTTTATCTTTTATACAAAAGTGCCTTCAAAACATAAAATAAAAAATATCAAGAAATTTTATAAATAAAATATAGGCAAAATACTTGTTAAATATGGATGAAACTATTGAATAATATGGTTGCATCAAGACAGGAAAAACTTTTGAACCAATGAGATTGATATTGACGAGGGTGTTTTTAACCGGTCAACATATTTTCAGACATTAAATATTGACATGGCCTTAAATTAATATATGCCCTTCGAGTTCATCTTATTTATTAACTAGTTATTCATAAATTTGAGGTCAATTACCTAGATCTTGAACTAAATGAAAAATATCAATATTTTTTTGTTCAATTCTTACAATTTTAGTGAGAGACTGCTAAATAATCAATGTAGGTTTTTCACAAATTAAAGTAGGTTGAAGCTGCTCAATCACTAATTCAACATTACACGATGGAGTTGGTTTACTAAGTTGTGAGTCATCAATATTTTTCTTTTTCTTTTCAAAAAATAAAATCAATTTTTCTTGCCTTATTCATGGTTCAACCTAAAATCAAATTAAATAAAATAGGCAAACCTTAATTAAGAGAATTCAAGATCCAAAATTAGAAACAACAATAAAGATCAAGAGCATAAATTGATGAAATAGGCATCTATAATTCCATTTAAATTCATAAAAACTCATTCAAAATTTAAAATTGATAGCAACCCACCAAAATGTAAAAACAAAATAGAAAGCCAATAATACAACATAAAAGCAAGAAGAGACAATTAAAATAAGGGGAAAAAAAAGGAATCTTGAGTTTAGGTTTCCTTGTTACGATGGAAGAGAGGGAGAGACAAAGAGTTTCTGGTATAAGGCACGTAAAGAGAAAGAGAGATGGGTAGCTAGGTCTTTTATTTTTTGTTTTAACTATTATTTTTTTTAATAACATATATATATATATATATATATATAT